AACGAAGAAACGTTACATGATCTCTGTCCTCTTGTATAGAGAATACCAAAGATGGACCGAACAGAAAGATGTGAGCAACCGAAATGTGAGAACTGAAACGTTACATGATCTCTGTCCTCTTGTATAGTAGCGAATGTTAGATAATCTCCTCAAAGATGAAGTAGAGACTTGAATTAACAGATATGTGTTTCTACAGAAAGATGCTGAGAATACTATGAACTGAGCATGTGAGCAACAACACAGTTTTAGAGAAAATGGAAACAAAAAAACTTATACTGAATATTAGCAACAGTGAGTGAGAAGGATAATCAGGAGACATGCATTGATAATATATTGGAAAAAAAAATAGCAAAGTGGCGGGAATCATGATGAAGAAGATAAAAAACAAGAAGAGAATTAAAACATCAATACGATTCGCGGTCTTCGTACACAAGCTTCATGTTATTCTAAATACGTACGTCCGTTAACATTAGAGTTTCATAAATTAACACGAATATAAAAGGATTTACATGAGACCCAACTTCTGTGAAGCCGACAGGTATTCTCTTGAGACTGTATAATTTTTTATTGGAAAGGGATTTATCTTTATATAGAAACACGTGAAAACTTCCCTCTTAGTATGCATTTGCGTATTATTTCACTCGCCAAGGAGAAAGAACAATAAAAAGAAATGGATTCAGAGATAGGAAACAACGATTAATGTGGCATATCCATATTTTCAACATCATAGTTAACAGGAAATTTGGAATTTGGAAGAGAGTTTCACTGCCGATTATTATTATTATTATGATTATTTTTATTTTTTTTTATTTCTGGCGTTTAAACATTTCTTTCCGTGTCCCGCCCAGGGACCTAAGGTTAGAAATGACAGCATGACACTTTCCATTGACAAAAAAAAAAAAAAAAGAAATTACATAGATAAAGCCCTTCGAGAAGTGTGGGCTGTACTTGTCGGAACAATTTTTGCTGTCTCCTTGAGGCATGGACATCCAGGAATCCCTTCAATTAGACTAATGTAATCTTTTCCAACCAGTCCTAAGGCTCAGGCTACAGCAGGGATTGTTGATACTCCCATATGCCACATTTTCGAGATTTCTATTTCAAGGTCCTTGTATTTTGACAGCTCTTTGAATATCTTCAAAGATACATTGCAGTCTACAGGGACTGCCATATCAATAAGGAGGCACCGTTTTTGTTTGTGGTCTTTAATAACAATATCTGGCCGATTGGCTTTGATTGTTCTGTCAGTGTGTATTGTGTAGTCCCATAGAATTGTAACAGGTCCTATCTCCGTAACCGGGTCTGGGTGGTGTTCATACCAGTCTTTTTCAGTTTACTTCCCGTAGAAGTTGCAGATTTTCCAGTGCAGATATTGACCCACTCTGTCATGTCGGGTTTTATATTCAGTGGGTGCCAACATTGTGCAACCTAATACAAGATGATCAATCGTTTCTGGATATTTATCACAGAATCTGCATTTTGGGCTGACACAATATTTTAGTATATGTGCTTGATAATTCCTAGTTAGCAAACATTGGTCCTGTGCAGCAAGGATAAAACATTCAGTTTCAGCTTTCAACCCTGTACTACGTAGCAACTGATGGTTACAGGTTTTGTCTACGTCAGCTTGCTTGGTACGAGCAGTGTATTGGCCATAAAGCGGTTTATCTTGCCATTGTCTTTGCATATTATTATTATTATTTTACTCATTTCACCCTAAGCTCCGAAAAAATAAAAATGGCATTTGAAAAAAATAGATCAACTATTTCATGGACTATTGAGAGAGTCGGGACAAAAAATTTACAGGCCCTTTTTTTAAACCTTGTCACCCCAAGCAACATCGTAAAAACAACTGAAACCCGGGGGTACAGGATGTAGATGAATTAGGAATAGAAAGGTTAAAATTGAGTAGAAAGAGAAAAGAGAAATCAGGAGGAAAGTAGATTGCGATTGATATTGCATTTACATTTTTGCAGGTTAAAGTTGTCTGGAAAACAGGTGTGGGGGGACTGCAAGGTGGTCCACAAACGAAAAGAGTAAGAAGTAAACCTCTCAGCAGAGAAGTTACGGCTACATTTAGCTAGCTTATCATGAAATTATTTATTAAAAAATAGCACAGATGGGCAACTTTATGACAATGGGAAAGTGGCTGAAGCCGAGCCGCCAGATCAGGACCTTTAATATTTCTGATTCATCTTTGGATCTTATGAAGGAGCTACAGATGAACAACAGGGGCACCGGACCATATTTGACACTAATATTCTAAGCATGGACGGATGCTAGACTTATAGATATCCAAGATAGATTCTGGAGAGAAAAATGTGTAGAAGATAGAAGAAAAAAATAGGAAAGTGAAAATGAATAATAAACAAAATGATCGAAAATGAAAGAAATTGGCGGGCAAAAAAAAACAAAGCAAACAAACATGAGATGCAATCAGTGTGCCGGTTATCCCCACATAATTTCGCTAGTTTTGACAAGATGTCGATAGAGGGCGCTGTCAAGAACAAAAGAAATAAAGTGATTGAAGTAGTAGCGTGAAGTGGCAACACTTTGATTATACCATTATTTTCTATTCGAGTTTTTTTTTTTTTTAATTAATTTGTACCAAGCAAGGGGAAAATTCAACTCAGATGCAAGAGGAGACTTCAAAAGGAAAACTGATCCTAAGGGATAAACCTCAATTCAGGTTCAAAAGACCTGGCAGGTGTGTGAAACGGACAATAGGCAAACTTATTTATGTACTTCGTGATTGTGTAACGTCATTTTGCATCGTTAGAAGAATGTTGGACATCGCTCAATCCTGCATGTTTCATTCCTTCGAAGGTATTTTTACATTTTGACCGAGAAAACGGTGCTAAATTTTCAGAGTTTAAATGTTTCTGAACGGGTCTGACATTTTGATCTGAGGTGGCTATTTAAAAACATGACACGAGTTCTAGGTAAATATTTTTGTTCTGTAGCAACTTACTAAAAAGGTCATAATGCCAACCGACTTCGCAAACCGGGCTTCGACCGTAAGGTTTCCTCAGTCAAGTGGAAGGGTTGATGGGTTGTCTGGCATTTTAGCCTTTTCTTAAATATACTAGGTCAACATATTCGATTTTGTATTTTGTATCGAGCACTTTTTGTTTTCTATACCTTTTCGGCTCGCCTGCTTTCAGTCTTCCTTTTACATTTCTGTCCGCACGCACACACATAGTTATATATATAGTTATCAATATATATATATATATATATATATATATATATATATATATATATATATATATATATATATATTCCTAGTAAATCCCCTTAAAGGTTGTCCTCACCCAAGCCATAACACAATTTTCATGAATATAAAAATATTAATTTTCGGATGACAACAACATTTTTTTTGTTTTTCACAACCATGAACACATAATACTTATTCTAGAATTAGATGATGATGACATTATGCTATGTCGAAAGTACTTGAAATAAATACAATATGGGCCAACCCGGTATTTTCCTCTCGTCTTTTAATAACCGCACAAAAAAGCTTATCCGTGAATATGAAAGGATCTTATCGAGAATTTACTCAACTAAACCTTTTTTTTATATATATATATATATATATATATATATATATATATATATGATAAGATAAATGACAAGTAGGAAACAAATCTTAATCCAACATGTTTGACTTTACTAAAGCTTCGTCAGAAATCAAGATAGAAATGATAAAAATAATTAAAACCAAAGACAGGCAGATTAATTGTTTGTTGTGTTAGGCTGTTTCTTATTGATTAGAAACGCGTCACGTGTATTGAAGTAACAAATAATATTTAAATATGTGTAGCAAATATTCTCGACGCTAAATTGTGTAAAAGTTCGCAAGATTCAGTAGGATGTTTTGATTGGATACGTGTCATGTGTAATGAAATAATAGATAATATTTAAATATGTGTGGCAAACATTCTTGACGCTAAAGTGGGTAAAAGTTTATATGATGCAGTAGGAGGTTTTGATTGGGTACGTGTCACGTGTAAGGAAGTTACGGATAATATTTAAATAAATGTAAGAAAACATCCTAGATGTTAAAGTATGTGAAGGTTTGTAAAACGCTGTGGGATATTTAGAACAATTTTTCATCAGAGTATAACTATAGATTTTAGTAGAGGTAAATGAGTTTCATGAATAAATAATGAATCTAGAAAAATGGCGACGCAATGTATTTTTTTAAACGTGCGTTCTATGTCGTTAATGTCATAGACATATTTTCATAATATTTTGTCTTTAAACAGTTATGTTCGTTTTTGATAAGGCTGGCATTTGTAAAATTAAAGATAGGTCCTACGTTGTTGCTGCGTAACACAAGAGAATTTGAATGTTTTTCTAAACGCAAATCTCTTTTGTGTTCCTCGATGCAGGTCTTGAGAATACGCGACGTCTCCCCAATGTACATGATATATATATATATATATATATATATATATATATATATATATATTATTAATTAATTGATTTAAAAATGGTAAAAACCATATTTTAAATTAATTAATTTATAATATTAATGCTCTGTAAATTAACATCGAGCACTATTTTGTAAAATAAAAATATCTATAAGAACACCAGATTATATATCTTACTGTTCTTTATATATATATATATATATATATATATATATATATATATATATATAGGGGGTGCATATAACTGACAAATCTTTTGTTTTAATAATTTAAAAAAAAAAACGATCATTTTCAATATTAACTTAAATAATATGCAGTTGTCTCCCAAGCATTTTGCCAACTTTGTACCAATTCGATAATATTATGCTGACAGAACATTTTATCCCTTTTGGAAAGAATTGCTATTGCTGCCTTTCTGGTGCTTCCGGGAAATTGATTTTTCACATTCATAGAAGTTGGAAAAGATCGCCATAAAACTTGTAATATTTGACAAACACTGCAGAGATATTAACCTCTCCAATCATCAGGCTTTAACAATTGTATTTTGGTCGCCAAAGAAAAATGCGATCAGGTTTCTTCGCTTGGATTACGGCTTCCTTTCTTCGGTTCAATTCCAAAAAAAAAAAAAAAAAAGAGCTTTCTCCTATCGCAGACTTGAATCCATCTAAATATCGTCAGCATATGTGAGTGGTGTAAATGCTTGTTGAATTTCAAAGCTCATTCTAGACGGGACATTCACATTTGCCTTTACGAGATCTATGGGTTAAATAGCAGTGTTTTCTAAAACGGAGTTTTAGTCAATGACGGAAAAAGACAAGTCTAAATTATAACCGTGAAGAAGACAACAAAAAACCCACCCCACTTTTCTCGGAAGAATTTATTGCAATTTCCAGCTTACGGCTGTATAATTTTGAATCACCGGTTCCGATATGATGAAGCAACTAAGAGTCTCTACGGTACTTAGGTGGGTGACCGTTTGGAAATACCGTGTGCTGTAAGCTTCAATGTGCGGGTCGTGTAATGGATAATGGCCTGGAATTGTTAATCGAAGAACTGAATTCCAATTCCAGTATGTACTTAGGCTAAAATATTCTTGGGAATCGTATGAATCAGACACTTCTTTTCCCAAACTATGGGTTAATTAGTAAGTCGTGGATACCTACATCATTATTATTCCCCTAAAATGTTTCCAATCTAAACATATTTTCTTGTTGTAAATAATGTACAACGGTGCGGTAAACCGTAAAATCGAATCAAACAATTATGGCAATTTGCAAATAATAAAGAAAAATATTTGTCTATATTTCTGACATGAGATATTATGTACACTATTTACATTATTCGGACTATTGTCCTCATCTTTGTTGCCATATTTATCACAACGTTTCGGCCGTTGTACGCCCCGGCTTTCTTCATGTACTTGGAATGTCGAATTGAGCCCTTTATTTGGTTCGATGGGGTGGACTGCTCCAGTTCTACGTGCCATGTCTAATCGATGTCAATTATCAATTATATCCTCTTAATTACCCTCTTCAAGTTCTCCACTGCCTTGACCACGTATTGAACTCACAACGCTTTCGGCCCTCTCACTGGATCTAACCAACGCCTTTATCCACTGTGCCGTATATTTCAACCTGATCCCACAGAGGGCGGTGATCTCATTTTTCTCTCCATATGTGGTCAGCCACGCCTGATTTTTCCACTTCCCTTTGTGTTACAGCTTTCTGATGTTCTTGAAGCCTTAACTTACAGTGGAAGAAGTAATCATCATTATCATTTAGCCAATATCATCTGAGTGCCCCTGAGGAGTCAGTATTAAATAAGGGTCTCAACTTCGCCACAAATATCAGGCGAGTGCCATACTTGGACATCATTGCCAGAATCGAGGGGGTGGCCTTGAACTTTGGTGTTTTCGTTCCTCTGTCGGGATCCGGACTCCAGCCTCTCCAGTTTCGTGATGTTTGACTTGGGCGACTTGGCCTTGTCCACGGTCTGTCTCACCATCCACCTTAGTTCATCCGCCTGAGTCTGAGGGAAGTTCCAGTTGATTGATGACGACTATAAGTTTATAAGTCTAAGAAATTCAAACCAGGATGTCCTCGAATACACGTGGCACAGTAAATAAAGGCGTTGGTTAGATCCATGGATAGGACCCAAAGAGTTGTGTGCTCAATACCTGGTTAAAGCAGTGGAAAACTTATAGAGAGGAATTAACAGGAGATAACTGACACGTGGAACTGGAACAGCGAGCGAAATAAAGGGTTCACTTCGAAATCATGATTGCTTTCCTCATTTTCTTGTTCGATCATTTTGTTTTCTTCTTTTTTACTTAACATTTTTTTGTCATTTTTATCGTTTCTGTTTCTTCTTTATACCTTTCTTTAATTTTTTGTATTGAATATTTTTTCTTTTTTCTCTTTCCTTCTTTCGTTTTATCTGATTTTACTTTCTTTAACCTTTATTTCGCTAATCTGTCATTCTTAAAAAAATGGTTTAATCTTTAAACTTACTATTTATCCCGGTTTCTTTATTTTTATCCTTTTTCATCTTGGCTTCCTCTGATTTTCTTCCTGATTAATCCTTCCTTTCTTTGTCACTTTCTTTATTCCGTTTTCTTATCATTCACACTTTCATCGTCCTCATTCCTCATTTCTCACCTTCTGTTTTGTTCTTTCTCTCTTTCTTCCTCTGTATTTGTTACTATCTTCACCTTTCTGTTTCAGTTCGACATTCCAACCACCTGAAGAAGACCGGAGCGTACAACGGCCGAAACTTTGTGATAAATATGGCAACAACGATTAGGACAATAGTCCGAATAATGTAAATAGTGAATACAGAGAATATAGCAGTGGAAAGACATGCCTACTTAGGTTCTGAATAGATATGGAATTTAGAGAAGATTTGTCAGAAAATATTTGTCTTTCTTTGGAAGGACCTTATTCCAGATGACATAATTTAAATTTGAGCGCAAACAGACGATCAACTACTTCCAAATTTAGTTAAAAATGGAGAAAAAGTTTAAGTTTTCCAGTACGTTTCCTGATCTTAGCCTTCACGCTGCACATCAAAATTAACTAATATAAGAATATATCTTTATTTCTCGGTATTTGTTTTCATTTTCTCACACCGTTTTAAATACTTCTTCTTCGCTTTACTTTCTCTAATTTCTTGCTTTCTCATTTCTCCTTACCTTTCTTCTCTGTTTTTTTCCCGTTTTCTGTCTTGTCTCTCTTTCCATTTTTTCTCTCCTTGTTACGATTTTGATGTCATTTTGTCTCTTTTGATTGTATTTATGTCTCTCTTTGCTTCTGATCCCACATACCGTACCGTCTTTCTCTTCCCTTGCTGCGGTAAATGAATATTGAAATCACATCTTGGTCGTTAAACAGTTTCGACACTGTTTCTAGTTTGACTAAAAGCAATGGTAACAATATTTGGAACATATAAATGGCAATTGTATGGAAATGGAAGATAATTTAAACAAGCCGACATTTTATAGTTTCCGTTTTTATATAACCGAATAAAAATAGATCGAAAATACACTTGTAGGCCTGCAAAATAAAGATATTTAAAAGTTACGTGGGTGATAAACAGGTAATACACGGATGTGTGTGAAAGTGCAGTCACTAAGAGGAAAGATATTCCCATGCTCGGAAAGAAGGTCTCGTTGGAGCTATTTCTACTACGTGCTAGATGTGAAATGACGCTGATACCTTTTGATTACTGGAGCAACGTCAGCCAGGCCGCAGAAAATCTTCCTTTCTCCACATCAGTAGAGTTGATGATCGGATCTGTGAGCACCTCTCACTGCGCCATCTTGGCTTCACGTGGTGGAACAACTACATTGAATCAATAACTGTATCTTCTGCAAGGAAAGTTGTTTCACTGTGTCTTGCCAGAATTTTTTTTTCCCGTCAGAGTCTATGATATATATCTACAAAATTATGATTCGTTCATGCAATCAGTATTTCTTGCTTTCTCATTTCTCTTTACTTATCTCTTCCATTTGTTCTGCTTTCTGTCTTTCCATTATTTCTGTCCTGTCTTGTTTGACTAAAAGCAATGGCAACAATATTTGGAACATATAAATGGCAAATTGTATGGAAATGGAACATAATTTCCACAAGTCGATATCTGATATTTTCGTTTTTATATAACGAAGTAAAAATAGATCGAAAATGGACTGCAAAATAAAGAAGATATTTGAATGTTATGAATTGCGTGGGTGATAGACAAGTGATACACGGATATGTGTGGAAGTCCAGTTAGTAACGGGAAAAATATTCCCATGCTCGAAAACAAGGTCCGATTGGAATTATTTCTACTACGTGCTAGAGGTTAAATATCGCTGACAACAACATTTTCCTTTCGATTACTGTAGAAACGTCAAGCCTGGCCACAGAGAAACTTTCCTGCACCCGATCAGCATAGTTGGTGTTGGGATTTGTGAGAGCGTTTCACTACGCCATCTTGGCCTCACGTTTTCCTATAACCTGGGGTGGAATAACTACATTCAATCAATAGCTGCATCATCTTCTTTTATGCTTTCTACAATCTCCTCTATACACAGCCCTTTCCCTCACTTTCACTTTCTGTAACCCCCCTGCGTTCTAGTGACCCTCTCGCTTTGTATGGATAACTCAAATCCTGATGATTTCTTCTTTATTTCTTTTTTCTTCATTTTCTTGTTCGCTCACATTGTTTTCTTCTTTTTTACTTAAGATTTTTCGTCATTTTTTCCCGTTTCTTTTTCTTCTTTCTATCTTTCTTTTATTTTTATATTGAATATTTGTTTCTTTTTTTTTTCTTAATTTCTTTCATTTTATCTGCTTTAATATTCTTTAACATTTATTTCGCTAATCTGTCATTCTTAAAAAAATTGGTTTAATCTTTAAACTTACTCTTTATCCCGGTTTATTTTCTTTATCCTTGTTTTGTCGTGGCTTTCCCAGGTGTTCTTCCAGATTAATCTTTCCTTTTTTTGTCATTTTCTTTGTTTCATTTTCTTGTCATTGACGCTTTCATCTTTCTCATTCTTCATTTCTCACTATCTGTTCTTTCTTTCTTTCTTTCTTTCTTTTTTCTTTCTTTCTTTCTTTCTTTCTTTCTTTCTTTCTTTCTTTCTTTCTTTCTTTCCTTCCTTCCTTCTTTGCTTCTTTCTTTCTTTCTTTCTTTCTTTGTATTTGTCACTATCTCCACGTTTCTGTTTTATTTTCTTTTTTATCTTTGTCTGCAGCGGGGTTTACTTACTTCAGGTATGAAATGGTTAATAAAAGAATAATTTTTATGCTATTCTTTGGGCTTCTTCTTTCTTTTTCTGAATAATATCTTCCAAAATAATATGCATCGTCAATCATCTTCTGTCTACTTGAACTTTTTATCTTATTTTCACTTTCACTAACGTCTTGAATCTCAGTGGATTTATATCCTTGTTTTGGTTTACATAAAAATAAAAAGAATGAATAAATTTACGAAGGAAAGTGAAAGAAAAAAATGCAAGAATAAAGTTAAATGAATCATATACAAAGAGAAACAAATAGTTAATGGAAAGAAAATAAAAG